CCCAGCCAATGTGCTCAGTGGTTGAGCCTGGACCCATGCCCCAAGAGGTCACTAGTTCAATTCCTGGTCAGGGCACATGCCCGGGTTTTCGGCTCCATCCCCAGCAGGGGATATGCAGAAGGCAGCCGGTCAATATTTCTCTCTCATCAACATTTCTGTCTCACTCCCCCTTCCTCTCTCTAAAAATTAATAAAAATGTATTTTAAAATAAATAAACTCTGGCCCTGGCCGGTGTGGCTCAGTTGGTTGAAGCATCGTCCCACAAACCAAAAGGTCTTGGGTTCAATTCCTGGTCATGGCAAATACATACACAGGTTATGGGTTCAATCCCAGGTTGGGGCACATACAGGAGGCACCTGGTCAATGTTTCTCTCTCACTCAATGTTTCTTTCCCTCCCTTCCTCTCTCTCTCTAAAATCAATAAAAACATATCCACGGGTAAGGATTTAAAAAAAAGAATAAACTCTGTGTTTTGAGTACTCACAACTGTAAACCTACTTTTGCCCACCTCAAAAGTTTTTAGCTGGTGTTTGTGCTCTCTTTCCAACAAATAAGGTCTTTGAGGACAAAGACCAAAACTCCAATATTATTTTAACGGCTTCCACAGTGCTGGGAAACCAGGGCTGTATCCAGAGAGTACAGATTCTGATTTTCCCTTAGAAATCTTTCCTCTAAGCTAACCCCTCACAGTACATGTTAACATGTCTTCTTTGGGGCAAGTTCTTGCTAAATTGACCACGTAGGGCTGTGCTAGAAATGGGGCTCACAATGCTGGCCTGACATGAGAGCCCCAACAATGACAGCAAAATAAAAACTGACCCTCAAGAGGATTCTGTGGAGAAGCACATGGGGATGGGCACAGAGAAGGATACGTTTGTCAGAACCAATGTTCATTGTGGTGGCACCTGAATCATCCTTCTCATCTGCTTCGGTAAGTGATGTTAAGGAAAATCAGATGGAAAACAAAGGTTAGCACATCCCAACCCAACATAAGAAAACGTTCAATAAACTGATGGGTAGGAAAGGCACAGTGAATGGAAGGACAGTGTCAGGGATGTGGTAGTAACCCAGGAGCGTCATCTTTAGAAGTCTCAGCTTAGGGAAGATTGTTCAGAGCTTCCATAAGATCCTTATCTCTTGGAGGCTGAAGAGAAACTTAAGCTGGTGGGTGGGCTGCCACAGCACCTGGAAGCCAGGGGATGAAGAGATGGCCTCTAAAACAGTGGTTCTCAAAGTGTGGTTCCCAGAACTCCCTGGAAACTTGGTAGAAATGCACATTCTTGGACCTGATTCTGGATCTACTAAGTCAGTCAGAAAATCTGGTAAGTAGAGTCCAGTACTGGTAAGCAGGTCCCCCAGAAAACCACTGCTTAAAACACTCTCTTACAGCCCAAGAAATGAGATTTTGTAACTGGAACCATAGCTCTGCCAAACCTAGCAAAAAAAAAATCATGAGGTGAAACTAGAAGAGAAGTTGACCCAAAAGAGCCTAGGAATTTTTTCCTAAACTCAGGCTGACATGTCTGGTATGATATCCACTCCGTTCAAGAGGGCTCAGGAAGCTTAAGCTTTTCCTAAACAAAGGTCGTCACAGGGAACACAACCTGCTCCTGCCAGCAACACTATCTTTTCACGCAGCACCCACTCAAATTCCAGGTCCTTCCTGGTGTTCCTCGGGGGCTCAGTCTCGCTTTTAACTATGTGGTCACTGGACTTCAAATGAAACTGGTCCAAATTTGGGAATCCTTTACCCCAAAATATCCAGGTTCCAGTCCTGGTTTTAACCACTAACTACATGAATGTCTCTGATCACCCATCCATTTGTCGGGCATCAGTTTCCTTATCATCTGTGAAAGAAATAAAGACTATAAAGGAACATGTAACTTTCTGTGCAGTAAGTTACATGGTACTGCACGGGAAAGTCAAGAACCACAGCTATATCTTATTTTCTAATATAAATGGCCTATGACTAAGGCATTATTTGTTTCATACTGAGGTTTTCAGAAACATACTTAACTACGTTATAAAAAATGTAAGTCTGGTGTCAGAGACTCCAACTTCATTCCCCACGCCCACAAAAGGCCACAGATCACTGCCATTTCAGAGAAAATTAAGCTACGGAGGGGGATTGGCAGCCTCCCAAAGCTCATAACAAACCAGCAAACGCTTCTGGCTTGAGCCACAGGAAATGGTGCTGAGGCTCCACAAAGGATATTCTTCTTCATCTGTCACATCAGCATACTGGGCCAGGAGGGCAGCCTTTCTCTGCTTCTCCTCTTCTGACACCATCCTGGGCTTCACCACAATCTGTGCCTGTTTCTCAATTAGGGTAGCAATGGCCTGTACCTCGTCTGGGAGGTGGTGGAAGGGGAGAGAGGGACAACAAGGTTGTACGTGAGAAAAGACAAGCTCACCGAACCACTAGTCCACCCAGGTAGTGCTTGGAGTAAAGGCCATGGCATCTGCTGACTCCTGAGAGCCCTGGGGTACAAAGGAGGTGCCAATGAGAAAGGCAAGGGAAGGCCATGCAGGCCAGGCTTTGGGTCTCGTATCTGTCTCCAACCAGAGCAGCCCTGCTTTTACTTGTTTTCTCTATTCACGTTCCGCTGCTTTAAAAAAAAAAAGAGAGATTGAAAAGCACTACATTAAAACCATAGGAAATTAAGCGTCTAAACATGCATCTTTCTCCCCTCTCAACCCAGAAACCTCAGAAGGAATCTAGAATCAGCGAGAATCAGCTTTCATGACGATAATCATACCAGGTGAAGTTCCTGGATTATTTTAAAAGAAAATCAACTATTATGTTCTCCATTCTCAAAGAAGGGGGCAATAGTGTCAAGTAGTGGTTCTCAGGCTTGGCTGCATATTAGAATCATCTGGGTGGAACTGAAGAGCATTATGCTAAGTGAAAAAAGCCAGTCGGAGAAAGATAAATATCACATGATCTCACTCATACGTGGGATATAATGATAAACATAAACTGATGAACAGAAATAGATCCGGAGACAAGTGGCAGAGGAGGTGGGGGGCTTAGAGACCAACCAAAGGACTTGTACGCATGCGTATTAGCATAACCAATGGACACAGACCCTGGGTGGTGGGGGCTTGCCCTTGGGGTGGAAATGGCTGGGGAGGGGGTCAATTGGGGAAAAAGGAGACATATGTAAAACTTCAGACAATTAAAAAAAAAAGAATCATCTGGGGAAGCTTTTAAAAAATACCAACACCTGGGACTTAAAGCCAACGATGTTTATGTAACTGGTTCATGGTGTGGAGCAGGCACTAGCATTTTTTTTAAAATATATATTTTATTGATTTTTTACAAAGAGGAAGGGAGAGAGATAGAGAGTTAGAAACATCGATGAGAGAGAAGCATCGATAAGCTGCCTCCTGCACACTCCCTACTGGCAATGTGCCTGCAACCAAGGTACATGCCCTTGACCGGAATTGAACCTGGGACCCTTCAGTCCCCAGGCCAACGCTCTATCCAGTAAGCCAAACCGGCTAGGGTGGCACTAGCATTTTTAAAAGTAAATAAAGTAATGCTAAAATACAGCAAAGACTGAGAACTACTAGTGTAGATAGTTTAGAATAGATTATCTTTTAAGTTTGGCTTTACTTATTTGAGTTTTCTGCATCCTAATGCTGAGTAAATTCACTCCTTTTTCATTTTAAAGGGTTAAGGGTTTAGCTGAATAAAGCAAAAGGCCAATCACAATTTGTGTTATGAAATGAGAATATAAAAAAGGTGATCCTATGTCTGCAATGCAAATCTACAAGGGGCAGTGGAAAGCGGGTTAAAAAGAAAAAAGAATAAATCACAATGAAGATAATTGTGGTCAGCTGAAGTGAAAAAGTAGCAAAGGGAGAAAACCAATTTCAGTTAAAAAGTTAAAGCTGTTTGCCAGATTAAACTACCTTTGGGAAAATGAGTATTCAATGGAGAAAACTGAAAACTCTCTCCCTGACAGCAAAGGTTATTGGAAAACACAATAGAGGCTAGACATCAGAACTACCTTCTTTTTTCACTTTGGTGACAACATTCTGAGTTTCTGACCATCGTTCCACAATCTCCTTGCATATGGTAAGAAGGGAATCTTCTTCCTGGGTGGAAAAGGAGACGGATTAATTAATTTCCTGGAGAGCCCTCAACCTGAACAAAGCCTGTGCAGAGGGCATAGCTGGTGATGAGAAGAAACCACGAAGAGGGTTTGGGAACCACAGAGCAGAAAGTATGTTTCTCTTTCAAGGCGCTGGATACAGAAGCAATCCTGTGTGTGAGTCCCAGAATCCACAACTGCCAGGTCAAGGGCATCCCCTTTACCCTGCCAACATCCAGAGGAAAGGATCCCCACCAACTCAGGGCAGTTCTCCTCATGCTTTTGGAGCAAAAACCTGTTGCCTACGTCAAAACCTTTCTCCTCGGTGAAATCTTCTTTGGCCGATATATCCAACTCAGTACATTCTCCAAGGTTTATCACTTTCATGCCAAGAGACTGTTAAGAGCCTAAGGCAAATCCATGCCTGTCTTTACCAGCAGACATACAGCTCCAAATAATGACACCACAAAAAAAAAATTAAAAAAACAGGTCAAGAAGTTGGTACCAATGGGTACCCAAGTTACTTCAGCTTCTTTTTCAGAGAGTCTTTAGAAACTTCCCAGCTGGAAATAAAACTAAAATTGCTTACCTCCTACTCTTTCTCTCTACAACCTATAATGTCAGGGTCCAAGAAAAGAATTTATTGTGCTGTGTTGTATTTCCACTGACCTTATGAGCTGCAACACAAGTTGTGTTAAGACTTTCCCAAAAATAAGTAAGCCGGTCTCACCAGACTATGCACTGGGGCCCGGGCCAGAAGGCCCCGGGACAGCTGCATTAGTGTTATATTTCAACCACGTACCTGATCCATAAACTACCCTTTCACCAAGTTAAGTGTTAGTAGAGATGAAAGCAGCAGAAATGATCAGGAAAAGCAGACAATTTGGTAACTGACTACTGAAACACAGCTTAAAGCACACATTTCTGAATTCTTGAATCTGTCTCTAAGAGGCTACTAGTAAGTGCCAAGTTTATCTTTCTTTTTTAAAACTCTGATCTTTTATTCCAACTCCAACTCACTCCCCCTACCCCCAAACACAACAATGACTATTGCATTTGTAAATACTACAAAGGATAAAGCACATTTGCTTCAGTTCTGCCTGGGCATGAAAAGACCTCTACCCCCAAAACAGGAACCAGGAGAGGCCTCTGTCGGGTCAGTGCTGGGCACTTGCCTCTTAAAGTACTGACACACACCCAGGGCACTTTACTGCCCGCTCTGCACGCTGCCAACGGGTGGGAATGAAACTGGTCGTTAGGTGTTTATGGTAAAACTCAGATTTAGACATTTCAACGCCTTCCGAATACTCACCCACGGGCATCCGACAGAGCCTTGTCCCAGGAATAAGGGAAAGCCATTCGTCTCTAAGGACCTATAACCTTCCTGGTTCCCCAAACTCTGGAGAGGGGGTCACCCCCTTCCCCATGGCCCGGAACTCCAGAAGAGCAGTCCTCTCCCAGGTAAGACCCACCAATCCTCTGGGACTCTGGATGGGGGACGGGGACACAAAGTCCTGACGGGGGCTGGCCAGCAATGAGTGGGGTTTCTCACCAGGAAAGCAGAGAGAATGCCCTGCAGAGCGTCCAGCTTCTCTTCCTCCTCCTCCTCCTGCAGGACACCCAGGATGTAGGCGCAGTAAACAGCTCGGTCCGCTCCCAGCGCCTCCAACCGTCCATCCAGCCAGGATCCGAAACAGCTGCCCTCGCCACTGCCTTCGCCGGAGGCAGGTGCGTCCACTTCACTGGGCGCCGCCATCTTGGGGTCAGGGTCCTGCCAACCCCTAGGGCGCCTACCGCAGTGCCTGACGGGCTGCGCCGCGGGCGCACTGCGCATGCTCACAAAGGAAACTCGCTCCTGCACGCGGAGCGTAGAACCCCGGAGTCCATAGTGACTCGCCTTGGCGCTTGGTAACTTCTCAATAGAGCGCACCTTGGCCCACAGTGGCAAGTGGTCTCTCTGGAACCCTGGCAGGCGGGTGTTCTTAGCAGACCTTTTTACAGTTGGGGAAGTTCAAGGAGATTCAGTCACTTGGCCAAAGTCAAGCAGCTAATAACAGGACTGGAACTCCACTTCGATTCCAGCGCTTCGGCCCACCTCCCACTCCCACGCAGCTTTCAAGCTGTTCCCCTAACAAGACTCAGGTTTCAGGAAACCTTCCTGATTCCGTGCCGCCTGTTTTAAGACCACGCCTGTGTGTGGCGATTGCTTCTCTGCACTTAACATGCTGTATTTAACGCAGAGCCCGACCTATAGGGGGTGCTCGATAAATGAACAGGCAACCTCAAGTCATTTCTTTCAGTCATTCAACACTTTATCCTTTGCCAGACGCTGTGCTGAGAGCTTCTGATGCATTATCTCTTGTAACCCTTCCAGCAGCCCTGAGGAGATGCTTTCATCGTCCACTAATTGAAGATAAGGCAACTGGGACACAGAGTCACAACCACAGGGAACCTCACCAGAGACCAGCGCTCGAGAACAGCAGCCAGAGCCCTGCCGACTCTGCGAAACACCTGGCTCCGGGCTGAAATGAATTACCCAAGAACCTGAGTTGGCTTTCCCTGAACTACTGGCAGGTCACTGACCTGACTCCTTCATTCATTCAATATTTATTGATTACCCGCAGCATGTCATTGCTCTGAGGCACTGAAAAGATAAAAATGAATGTCACAAAATCTCTGCTCTCAAAGGATCTCTAGTCCAATGGAAATAGACATGTTTAAACTAATAATGACAATATAGGGAGATAAATGTGTTAATGGAGCTTTTTCTAATGAAGGTTGCAGTATGATGTCTAGGAGATTAGGTTAAATTTGCCTGCTGGAGTAGGGTTGAAAGCTGTGAAAGTAGGGGATCCAGAAAGGCTTGCTAGTGGAGATGGGACTTACACTTTTTGAAGAATAAGAATTCTTTAGACAAAAAGACTGGAAGAGAAGAGAAAGATCCATATACAGGGGTCATGCAAGAGGCAGCTAATCAATGATTCTCTGTCATCATTGATGGTTCTATCTCTCCCTCTCCCCTCCTCTCTGAAATTAATAAAAAAATATATTTTTAAATGTTAGAAGAACATTCTGATTGTGCATGAAGAATGGGTTATATTGGGGAGAGATAGGAAGCTACTCAAGAATAGAAGTAATGTTAGAAATTGACCCAGTACTTCAGACAAGAAATTATAGTGGCCTGGACTAGGTAGTAGCAGTGGTCTAAAGATGTACTTTGGAGTTGGTAGAACTTGTTTTTAGAGTGGGGGTGGGGATAAGGGAAAGTACTGAAAGATAAGTTCGAGGTTTGGGTTTGAGCAACTAAGTAACATTTACAGAGATGGGGAAGACTGGGGGTGGGGGGGAGCGTGGGGGAAATGTTCTGTTTTGAACATGTTAAGAATGAGATGCCTATTAGATATCCACCGGGAAATGTCCAATAGGCACTTGAATATATAAGTCTAGAGATCAGGGGAGAGGTCAGAGCTTGGGATAGAAATTCTGCAGGCACTAGCATAGGGCTGAATTATAAAGCCATGGAGTCGCATGAGGTCATCTAGACAGTGTTAACAGGGAAGAGAAGAGGACCCAGGGCTAGGCTAAGGGTAAAGCCTTGGCTACTCCAACATTTATAGTCAAAACAGTACCTTTGGATCCAGCAATGGAAATTGAGGAGGAGCCACTGAAGGAAGGTGGAAAGGTAGAAATGGAAGCAAAGAGAAGAAAATGTTCCAGAAGGAGGAGGAGTCTGTTTTAGTGTTCAAAAAGTCGGATAGGTTGAGAATACCAAAACAACCATAGAATTTGGGACCATGGAAGTCCCAGTTGACCTGCGTAAGTATAGTTTTATAGGAGAGGTGAGGATCAAAGTCTAATTCGATGAGTTGTGGAAAAGATGGGAGGTGAGAAATGGAGACACCTCTTCTGAGAAACTTTTGGTTGGATGGGTAAGTAGAGAAAAGGGAGGGGGTCAAAGATGTGAAGATGAGAAATCTTCATTTACGTTAAATGAAGTGGTTCTCAACCTTCCTAATGCCGCGACCCTTTAATACAGTTCCTCACGTTGTGGTGACCCCCAACCATAAAATTATTTTCGTTGCTACTTCATAACTGTAATTTTGCTACTGTTATGAATCGTCATGTAAATATCTGATATGCAGGATGGATTTTCATTGTTCGTGACCCACAGGTCAATAAGCTGTACATGCTCGGTACGTGTTAGGCTTCTCTTATTATTCATCATCGAACTCCTAGGGGTTTCAAAGTAGCTTGTGTGAAGAATCAAGCTGGGGCCCAGCTTGCTGGCTGTGAAGGCTCAGAACATCTCCAGCCGATGAACAGACCAGAGAGAAAGCGGAAGAAAAAAACGAAGGGAGCTGGGAAGAATGTTGTCCTCCCAGGGCCACCGTAGGGCAGTCTCAGCGCTATTACATCGTTGTAGGGGCGGAGCCGGGAGGAAATTTAAAACGAAGCGGCGGCGGAGGCACCGGGAGGGTGGTACCTGCTGTGGTCACTGGTCCGGCCGGGCTTGGGGGCTGGGGTGAGCCCATGGGGTCCGCGGTGGTAACTGAGCGGCCTTGAAGGAGGAGCACGGAGGCCGAGAAAAGCCGGATATTTGGGGGAACCGGGAAAGGGTATGCATCCCGGGTAGGGGAGAAGGGGTAAGAAGGAAAGCAAGAAGGGGTCAAAAGAGTTGTAGAGGGGCCCCACCAGCGTGGTCCAGTGGCTGCTGAGCGTCCATCTATGAAGCAGGAGGTCACCGTTTATTCCTGGCCAGGGCACATGCCCGGGTTGTGGGCTTGGTCCCCAGTAGGGGGCGTGCAGGAGGCAGCCGATGGATGGTTCTCATCACTGATGTTTCTATCTCTCCCTCTCCTTTCCTCTCTGAAATCAATTTTTAAAAATGTATTTTTAAAAAGGGTTGTAGAGAGGATAACGGGTCGGAAAGTGGAGCGGAGAGATGCAGAAGCTGGGGAGGGTAGTGGGCCAGGAGGGGCCACAGGAGTTGAGTGGACCGAGATCCACAGGGGACGGAGGAACTGAGGTCGCCATTGCCTGGACGGTGTCTCCGGATTTGAGATGGGATGTGGGTAGAGATGGAGTTGAGCTTGCTATTCCTGGTACCCGCTTTGTGGATTGTGCGGGGTTTGGGGGGTGAGGTGGGGCCACTTATATCTAATCATACCAACCATTGAGGTTCCCAATGGTTGCCTACAAAATTTTAGGCTAGTGAAGGTGGTTCAGCTGGGGTTTTTTGTTTGTTTTTAAACATTTTTATTGATTTATTTTATTTCATTATTTTTTTTTAGAACGAAAGGAAGGGAGAGGGTGAAAAAAAAGGAAACATCGATGTGAGCGGAAGGGACATCAATGGGCTGCCTCCTGCACGCCCCCTACCGGGGATCGAGCCCGCAACCTGGGCGTGGGCCCTGACTGCGAATCACCGGCGACCTCTCCGTGCACCAAAGGACACCCAGCCTACTGAACCACACAGGCCAGGGCTGCTTCAGCTGTTTTGTCCTTCGTTTTCAGGGACCATTGCCTTGAGCTGGAGAGTTCAATGGCTGACAGTAGGCTCTGGGCTCCGGACCTAGGTAGGTAACAGGTCAAAACTAGGGATGCAAGGTCAAATATGCTCCTCCTGCCCCAGAGCCTCTTGGGAGGAAAAGGTCGAGAGATGTTAGCCCTGTTGGGTTTTTTAAATTATTAGTGGTTTGTGTGTGAGTGTTGTATGTGTTCATGGATGTCATGGATCATTTAGGAATTCATGGTAGAGGTCAAACAAGAGCTTTTAGTCTGATATTATGAACAAGATTGGCAGACAGATGGGGAGTCCTGGTTGAACAACCATGCATATTTAAACCCATCGTCACGGTTATTTTTACCATAAAGTATTAAGTTTATCTTAAACACCGCCCCCCCCACTCAGTTATCTAACTATTTTAGCACCTAGTCACTTCCCTCCTACTCTCCTCCCCTCTCTTTTAGTATCATCTAGTTTTAGTGCTGGAATGTGACAGATATGCTGTTCGGTTTCTGCCTTTTAAACACTAACACCACACAGAGGCTGTCGGTGAGAGCTGCTCGACTTACAGGACTCCTCTCATCTCCAGCTTCTCACTTTGTTCTTTGTTGTTTCCTAGGGGCTCAGCTGGGAGTTTCCGGTTGTCTGAAAAAATGCCAGAAGAGCTCTCCAGATGCTAGGAGGCAGCAGCCCTTTTCTGGAAAGTCCTTTTACTTGGATCTGCCTGCTGGCAAGACTCTCCAGTTTTTGACGGAGGCAATCCAGCAGCTGGGTGGGGTATGTAAAGTGCTTCTCGCCTGTGATCCCCGGGTTGTAGGGCAGGAGCTGGAGAAGGATTATACCTGTCTTCCAGGTGTTGTCAGCGGTATTGCTACATTTTTCTAAAGCAATTTCCAGTATAAGCCACTTTTTAAAATAAAGTTCATTTTTTCCCCTTAATTAGAAGAAAAACAGTATCTGCTCATTCTAGAAATGTTAGAGAACATGGAACTGCTGCAAGTGACAACCATCATTTTGATGTATTTGTTTTTTCCTGGAGTCTTTTTCTCTTTCTTTCATTTTCTTTCACAGCTTTATTGAGATACAGTTCACCCATTTGAAGTGAATAATTCAGTGGGGGTTTTTTGTATAGTCACAGAGATGGCCAAGTGTGATTAGACAGTCAATTTTAGAATATTTTCATCACCCTAAAAAAGAAACTAAGGCCCATGTCAGTCTCCCCATTTCCTCTTGATACCCCCAACCCTGGGCAATCTTTTATCTACTTCTGCAGTCTATCCTTTTTAATAAAAAAAAAAAAAAGCTTATTTTCTTTGTAGCTATGATCATAAATATATTTTTATTACCAACTTTTTGCCCATAACCTTAAAACGTTAGCACTTCCCTATCATTATTACCCCTCATATGCATTATTTGTAATGAGAATATCATATTCTTTTGAGTAGATTGTTAATTTACTTAACTTACCCTATGGCCATTCAGATTATTTCTAAATCTGAGCTCTTACAAATAACACTGTGGTGGACAACTCTGGGTAAAGAGCATTTGCTACGTTTGAGTTCTTTAAAAATTTTTTTAAAGCAGATGTATGTCATATGATACTTGTAGTCAGGGTGGGCATGGACAGCTCTTGTGTTTAGAAAATAGGCGATAGTGCTTGGCTCAAGAGCGGTGGGTCACTGGGGGAACTGCTGGAGGAGACTTAGAATGCAGAGAATCTTTGCTGTCAATCTAACAGAAACTTGGGGATGTAGAGACTCAGCAGTGGGGATGGACTGGATAACTGTCATACACCCCAACTGGCTCCAAAATTTTGAACTTTAAGTCTTCCCTATCATTTAGGCTTTGCTATACAAAACAAACAAAAAAACACCCCAGGATTTGGCCTTAAAACAAGTTATTTCTCACTGCTCTCTGGGTTGGCTTGGTGGTTTCTCTTGCAGCTATATTTGGCTGGCGGGTCAGCTGGGCTGGAAGGACCAAGTTGACCTCACTCACACATCTGGCAGTTGGTGCTGGCTGCCTCTGCCTTCTTACATGCATTGTATGAATGTGTACTATCATGGGCATATACAGTAAGCTAGACCAGCCAGTGTACTCAGTGGTCTCGGGGTTTTCCCAGAAGGTGAAGGGAGAAGCTACAAGGCCTCTTGTGGCCTAGGCTCTCGAACTCACACATATTATTTATACCATTGTATTGGACAACAGGAATCCTATTCAAGGGGATGAAGAATAGGCCTCTACCTCCTGATAGAAAGAACAGCAAAGTCACATTGCAGATGAGTGGGTACACTGGGATGGGAGGAATGTACAGCCATTAAACTGTCTACCAGCCCTGTCCGGTTTGGCTCAGTGGATACAGTGTTGACCTGCGGACTGAAGGGTCCCGAGTGCAATTCCGGTCAAGGGCACGCACCTTGGTTGCAGGTTCCCTGGCCCTGGTTGGGGTTTGACATTGATGTTTCTCTCTCTCCCTCTCCTTCCACTCTCTCTAAAAAATCAATGGAAAAACATCCTCAGGTGAGGATTAACAAAAATAAATAAAGTTGTCTGTTATAAGCATTGCTACCCCAGCTTTCCTATTTCAGGACGATGTGTACTTGGGGGCCCAGTGCATTTGGTCTATTTAAAGACATTGATTCTGGAACTTCTAGCAGCCAAGATTTCCTCTCCTACCTCTCAGTATTGATGATTTCATATCTGCCTTTGGTTTTCAGCCACCTCTGTGATCTGGTTTCAGGTAATTGAGGGTTTTCTGAGCAAAGAAGTAAGTTACATCGTGTCCAGCCGCAGGGAGGCGAAGGCAGAGAGCAGTGGGACAAGCCACAGAGGCTGCTCCAGCTCCAGCCCCAGCGAGGTCAGAGTGGAAACACCGGCCATGGCCGATCCAAAGGGCAGCCACACCAGGCCTTCACAGAAACCCGTAGACTTGGTAAGAACCTCGTGGAGCCCTAGCTAGTTTTTCTCAATGGTTAGAGCGTCGGCCCCGCAGACTGACGTGTCGCAGGTTCGATTCTGGTCAAAGGCACATACCTCAGTTACAGGCTCGATCCCCGGCACCAGACAGGGCACCTGTGGGAGGCAACCAATAGATGTGTCTCTCTTACATATTTATATGGGATAACCATTGCCCCACTCCCACAGCTCTAGCATTTGTTTTTGCCATATTACAGAAGGTAGACAGAGGTACTCCTTCAAGCCATAACTTTAAAGATATTTTTTTGCCGAAGCCGGTTTGGCTCAGTGGATAGAGCGTCGGCCTGTGGACTGAAGGGTCCCAGGTTCGATTCCGGTCAAGGGCATGTACCTTGGTTGCGGGCACATCCCCAGTAGGAGATGTGCAGGAGGCAGCTGATGGATGTTTCTCTCTCATCTATGTTTCTAACTCTCTATCTCTCTCCCTTCCTCTCTGTAAAAAATAAAATATATATATAAAGATATTTTTAAATTGTGGTAAAATATATTTTTATATTGTGGTATATAAAAATATGCCATTTTAACCATTTTTAAGTGTACAGTTCATTGGCATTAATTATATTCACACTGTGGTGTAACCATCACCACTTTTTTGTTTCCAAAACATCACCCCAAACAGAAAATCTATAACCATTAAGCAGTAGCTTCCCATTTCCCTTCCCTACAATTCCTGTCTATGAATTTGCCCATTTTAGATACCTCATATCAGTGGAATCACTGATATATGTCCTTTTGTTTGTGGCTTATTTCACTTAGCATGTTTTCAAGGTTCATCCATGTTGTAGCATGGTTAAAATGGCAGCCCCTGTGTTGAGCGTCATTGCGCATCATATTGGTGGTCAGTGTGCATCATAGCGACCAGTCGGTCAGTCGGACCCTTAGCATATTAGCCTTTTATATAGATAGATAGACTGTCCCTTTTTATGGGACTGCAGAGTTGGGTTCAGAAACAATAGGCGGGTCCTCGGAACCAGGGAGGGCTTGTTGGAATTGGCCTACACTTATCAGTGGAGAGTGCGGACACCCTTAAAGGGAAGTCTTAGAACATTCGTAACACTTTGATCTCTGGTGAATTCAAAATGCCCTTCTCTACCAGGGTCCAGGCCACAGCTACCCATGGATGATCTGAACTTGGGTGTGATTCCACCTTGACCTCCAAAAGGTTCTAGGCTCTCATTTCGGCCCCTCCTGAGCTGTGGTTGCTCCCGGCCAGCACCTGTGTAAATATCTGTTTTTGCACGGGTGGTTCATATAACATATCTCATTGCTCTTCTCTTCCTGTCAGGTCCCTATGAGCAGAGGGAAGGAGCTACTGCAGAAGGCCATCAGAAATCAGGTGAGCGGAGGGTCCCAAGGTTCTTCTGAAGTACAGGTGACCCTCAAACAACACAGGCTTGAACTGTACAGATCCACTTAGATGTGGTCTTTTTTTTTTCTTCTTCAGTAAATACCTGTATTGTTTTTTATCCATGGTTGGGAGTGTGCAGGTGTGAATGGCCAACTGTATTCATTGATCTCTGCCATTTTATATAGGAGACTTGAGTATCTGGATTTTGGTATCTGTGGGAAGTCATGGAACCAATCCCCAATGAATACCAAGGGACAAGTTTTTGGAGAGTCAGAAGTTATGTGTGGATTTTCAACTACACAGGGGTCAGAACCCCTTATTTCTGCGTTGTTCAAAGGTCGGCTCTACTAACACAAAACACACAACCTATGAGATGTATTGTTGTTTCCTTCTTACAAATGAAGAAGTGGAGCTTGGAGACGTTAAGTAATTTGTCTAGAGTCACCTAGGGTGTCGGTGGTAGAGCCAGGATTTGACTCCTTGATTTTTCCAACTCAGAGTCTACCAAGAGAGTCTTGGAGGGATGCTGTGGGATGTGAAGCTAGACCAGCCGTGGGTAAACTACAGCCCCGGGGCCCCATCCGGCCCGTTCGGCTGTTCTATCCGGCCCGCGGAGCCGACAGAGCGGAGGGGTCTCTTGCTCTCCCCTCCGCTCCTTCACCAGCAGCAGTGTTAACATGTATTAGTTCACACAGACACTCCGTCCATGCTTTGGTTCCGGCCCTCCGGTCCAGTTTAAGAACCCATTGTGGCCCTCGAGTCAAAAAGTTTGCCCACCCTTAAGCTAGACTTTGTAAACCTATTTTCTTAAAGAGTTTTAAAATTTATTTATTGACTTTAGAGAGAGGAAGGGTGGGAAGGGGCGAGAGAAATAAACATCGATTTGTTGTTCCACTTATTGATGCTTGTATGTGCTCTGACCAGGGATCAAATCCACAACCTTGGCGTATCGAGACAATGCTCTATCAAACTGAGCTACCCGGCCAGGGCCAGACCGTGAACCTTTTACAGAGTAGCTGTTTATACCTTTTGTGAGAACCCAGAACCATTCAAGTTAAGTGGCAGGAGAGGAATTAATTAATGTGATCTTGTGAGAGGAGTCATTAAAGTGACATGAGGCTGGCTGCATTGGCTGTGATGACCCTCAGATTTGGGCAGCGGGGCAGGAAAAGTGTGGCCAGCATAGCTTCCTGCTGGGCGATGGTGATCGTCACTGGTATGCATTACTTACTGTGAGCTTTCTTCACAGTGGCCCTCCCAACAAGCAGCTCTCTTATAAGCATGTGTTCCTTCCCGGTCACAGGGTGGCCGGAGCAGAGTGTGCGGGTAGACCAGCAATCCATCCCCTCCAGATGTGGCCAGCCCATATGGAGGGTTGGGGTAGACTCTTCCCCACAACATCCCTCCACGCGGATGACCCAGAGCCCCCGGAAGCCAGGACGACCTGTCCCCGTAGCGTTCAGGCCCCGTGGCGGCTCCTGCTCCTGCCTGACTCTGCTTCGTCTTTCCAGGGGAGCAGCAGCGGAGGAGGCAGCGGGAGCCCCAGCAGCCTCCTGACCAATGCCCGCTCCTGGGGAGTGAAGATTCTGCATGTGGACGGTACCGTTTCTGCCCCAGGCTCCTACAGAGGGCGGAGTTGGTGACTGACTGGGAATGTCTGCTTTTAGAGGGATCGGAGTTGTAAGCTGGCTGGAAGCCAGGCATGCTGTTACCGTGTTGATCCACAAAGGTGGGAGGGTGTGGAGACCAGCTGTAACAATAGCAGAGTGTATGTACTAGAAGATGCTGTCCTGTTTAACCCACTCAACAGCACGCCTCAAGCTAACGTAGTAATCTTGTTTACAAATAAGGAAATAACCCTAATATCCATGACCAATTACAGGGTATTTACTCTGTGCTAGGAATTAACCTCATTTAATCCTCACCACAGTCCTCTGCCTAGTGTACTGATGAGAAGCTTGAGCCTTAGGGGGATTAAGTACATTATCCATAGTCTCACCAGGAGTGAGTAGTGTGACCCACATTCCAGCCTGGTTTGGCCCAACTAAATGTCATGTTCTTTCTTCTGTATGGGGTTGCCTCACACCTCTTTGCAGGTTGTAATAAATTTGCACCAGAACAGCTGTCCTGAGTGGGCTGGCAGTGACTGGCCCTCATATCAAGCTCCACTGCACATTGGCTTTTCTCTCATCCTTGAAGGGGCTGGTCAGATCCAGCCTGAGATCTGCCGGAGAGATAGAAAGTCAATAAACTGCCCTGGCCGGTTGCTCAGTGGTTAGAGCATCAGCCCGCGGACAGAAGAGTCATGGGTTTGATTCCAGGTCAAGGGCATGTACCTTGGTTGCAGGCTGGATCCCTGGCCCCAGTCGGGGAGCATGCAGGAGGCAACTAATCGATGTGTCTCTCTCACATCGATGTTTCTCTCTCTCCCCACTCCAATCCCCCTTCACTCTCTAAAAAATAAAATCAGTAAACATATCCTCCTCGGATGAGGCTTTTTAAGAAAAGGAGTTGTATTCAGTGCTACAAAAGAGCATGAAGCCAGCTTAGGTCCTTTTCCAGGATAGAGGACTCGGCCATTTCTTTTATCAGCAGGTGCAAAGGTGACATATAGCCAGAAGGTGGCAGGCAAGGCTGGTGTGATCCAATGTGCCAGGCCTGGTGAGACTAGTCCCCAAGAAGGGGCTTTGCTGGGGAAATGAGGAGTGGGAACCTTTATCCACGGCCCTCTGTTTTCTCCACAGAAATGATGATGCGCGTGCAGCAGCTCTCTCTAGATGCTTTATGTGTGAAGAAACAAGGGCCAAAGAAGCCCGAGGTAGGTCA